GAAGTGATGTCATGCTGGACAAGAATCAGAGTCCGAATAACATTTTTTCATATTCGGACTCGAGTCCGAATAATTATCACTTCGTTAAGAATAAGTACGGTTAGACTGAGCCGTCATTAAGTACGGCTAGCCTCTTCCGCCTACAAAATGAGCAGTAAAATTTCACTTTTTTAACAAGGCAAGGGGGGTTTCATACCAAACAAAAACATGGACATGGAGGGGGGGCTTTCCGTCCAAGAACTCCAAACACACCTGTACTGTACTGTACACCTAACCAAAGGTATGGTTATAAAGGTTAACAAAGAGGCAAATGACTTTTCATTTCGAATACCAGGGGGACTATGAATCCATCAACCGCCAGCAGTGGTAGATCATTCGTTCCTTTGACTTCTTGGGTTCGTTGGGTAGCCAAGATCTCTAGACTCTGGGCCCTTCAAAATCATTCAAATGTGTTTACAAACAACCGGAAGTGATCGGTAACTCCCAGATTTTCTACGTTTCCTGGAAGTCATAACAAAACCATGTCTCTTACGATATCGACTTCCAATTTTGTTTAATTGAACTTAAAGTATAGGTAGAATAACCCCAAACATCGCTGCTTTGAATGAAGCACAAAAAGGGTTTAACTGAGACACATGACTGTATTTGATCCAATGAGTTGATGAGATTTATGTTTCCGAAACGACGTACTTCATCGTCCACTGCCATAGATCAAAAATAACAGACTGCACTGGCACAACCAAGGGAAACAATTCGTAGATTTAGAGTGAGTTTTACTGGATCCGATCATCTGTTGTGACCACTGACTGTGGCTGACTTGGAAAGTTGGAGGCTAAAAGACCATAATTCAAATTGCCAAAATGATCCAGAATCGTGTGTCTCACATTAAAAGGCTAGATCTATCTTCAAAGTGTTATCTAGTGGATCCAGTGATATAAGAAAAGTAATTCCTTTGCATGAAAGTATTTTACAATGGAAGCTGAAAGGTCTCTAACTAACTCTAATCTAGATTCTAGATTCTAGATCTAAGCTGAAAGGTCTCTAGATCTAGATTCTAGATCTAGATGCTAGATCTAGATCTAAAGCCCCGGTTACACACAACGATAAATTGTACAAAAACTGGACGATCTAGAGATCATACGATAAATCATTAGAAGGCGTAACCACCAACCAAATTGTACAAAATTCTGACGATTGGACGATGGCTTGGAGACGTTAAAAAATCTAAAAGCACTGCTTGGTATTTTTCGTGCGATCACGTTCTGATTTGGGGGAGACACGCTGTGACGTAGAATCACTTTGAAATTTGCCGCCGCGCATGATTAAACATGGGGCGCAAAATTTAAAAATTAATTATCGCATCTTAAAACGTATTCGAAATCAGCGTCTCAAAATTTAAGTAGAAGAGCTCGCTGGGAGCCTGATTTGATGCCTTATTATAATTTTATCGATTTTAATATTTAATTGATTGTCAATGGTGAAGTTGTGTATCAAGGTCACTCGGTGCATTGCACATCTCTGCAGTCAAGTCAAAGGTTGTACACTTCTACACACAACACTGTACAGTATGGCCACCCTTTTCTAAAGACACTGCTACTTATCAAAATGTATAGGGGAGGGGTTGGGGGGTGGCTCTCATGATCTAAAGGTACAGGGTATGCCCTTCATTCTGAATTCATTTGGTCCCGGGATCAAAACCTTCACATAGATAGAGTGCAGGCAAATCGCTGTCGTCTCAAAGAGACATGGTGGCTTTATGACGAGGAATCTTATCATTCGAAAGAAAACTGGACTATAGATTGGAACTTGTAAGCAGGCAGCACAGGTTGGTAAAACGGACAGTTCTAGCACGAATCTGATACAATTTATCGTTGCGTGTAACTGGGGCTTTAGACAGTGATTCACATTTGCACACTATTCTATTATTTTTGTGTGCTTCTGTGATAGTATCATATTATATTATTGTTCCTTATAATCCTTAAACTTACCATACTTATGGTTAATGAGCCTAGTGTTGTATTTTGCTTAAAGGACTCTGAGGTGAGAAGTTAATACAATAATACACAGGGTGGAGGTAGGTGGTTTGGTGGGTGGGGGAGGGGGGAGTGTTACAGTGTAGACTGATATAATTGTCTGTTCGTTTGATGTCTTCACCTTCACCTATCCCATAGACTGGATGTCCGTCAGGGCGCTTTTGAAGATTTGGCCACCAGCTTCCTCCACTCCTTCCGGTCTTACAGCTTTCTGATGGTGTCTTTGAGTTCCAGGCCTGTCCATTCCCTGATGTTGTCCTCCCAACTCTTCTTCGGTCTGCCTCTGCTCCTTTTTCCCTACTGCCTTGCAGGATCATCTTGGCAAGGCCGGATGAACGGGTGATGTGTCCATACCATTGCAGTTTGCGTTTTGTGACCAGAGAAGGTCAGCATGCATGGTCCAATTTCAATTTTGATCAATTGTTTGACTTCGTTATTTGTGATGTGATCTTTGTGTATAAAATACCAAGGATTTTTTGGAGGCATCTTATCTTCACAGACTTAGCTTTGATCCTTCTTTCAAGGTCTGCTTTCAAGGTAGGGATTTACATGCTTACAAAAATACTGACATGACTAGGGAATGCATCTCTGTGTCTGATCTTTGGTCTGATGGGGATACTTCTGTTGTTCCAGATAGTGTTCAACTTGGTCATTGCTGCTCTGAAGTTTGCGCTATTCTTGAGATTATTTCTGGTTTTGTGATCCTTCATCTGTCACTATTGCACCCAGGTATTTGAAGCTGTGTACGGTCTCAAGCCTCTGGTTGTTGACCTGGATGCCTACTGTGATGTTCTTGTTGCTGTTGGACATCAGTTTGGTCTTCTCAGCGCTGATTTCCATGCTGTAGGCTGTGGAGGTCTTTTCAAGACGGTCTATTAAGCTGACTAGTTCTTGCTCTTGTCCTGCAAGGCCGTCTATGTCGTCTGCAAAACATAAGTTATTAATCGTTCTGCCCCCAATACTGACTGTTCTTTCGTGATCTTCAAGTGCAGCTGTCGTGATCCTCTCTAAGAAAATGCTGAAAAGAGTGAGTGGGAGCAGACAACCCTGGCATACTCCCACTGTTGTTCGGAACCATTCCCCAATGTTGTTGTTGAAAAAGACTGCGCTCGTAGCTTTCTTAGCTTTTCTATGACTTTTTGATCAGGTTGGCGTTGATGTTGTATAGCTTTTCTATGACTTTGATCGGGTTGGGGGTCTGTCGAGAATGACTTTAAGCATTACTATAGTAGGATGGCTAATCAGGCTAATAGTACGATAGTTTTGGGATTGTTGAAGATTGCCTTTCTTGGGAAGGGTGATGATCAAGGATTGAGTCCATGGTGTTGGCCATTCACCTGTCTGCCAGATCTTGTTGCAGATTATCCATAGCATGTCTATCACCGCGTGTCTACCTGCTTGAACTATTTCTGCTGCTATCATTGTGACACAGGGCTTCTTTTTCATGCGATGTTTCTCAAGGAGCTCATTTGCTGTTTCTGTCATGGCGGTGTTGGAGGTGTTTATCAGGGAGTCAACTTCTGTATCATCTCGATTTAGCGCTAGGAGTGGAGCAAACTTTTCTCCTTTGTTTGCTTGAAAACATTCTAATATATGGTTGAGTCTTTGAGTCTTTCAAGGTTGAACTTGATCTGTGTGTTGCCTTGTTTCCTGCCTTTTTTTAAAGATGCATTGAAAATGTCAACATGACAAGATTGTGGTCACTGCCGATGTCTGCACCTGGAAAACTTCTGGTCTTGGCAATGTTGACACTGCTTTGAAAGTGATGCTTGACTACGATGTAGTCTATCTGATGTAAATCTCCGCTTGGGCTGCACCATGCCAAATTATGCAAAAATTATGCAAGTTACCGTAACACTATTCGCGACATGTTTTGCACTTTTTCAACACGAATTTTCATGATTTTCATGTTTTATGTACAGAAAAATTTAAAACAGAACATATCAGTATCAGTAATTTGTTGTGTATTTGGAAAGAAAACAATACACATCTGTACAAAAAAAAAAAAAACCCCCAAAAATCTAATCATAATCTCTGTAACTTTCAGCTGTAGATCTAGATCTAGATCTATAGAGGAAAGAAAAATGTAAAAAAAAAAAAAGAAGGACATCTGGACCTCTGATGCTGGCACATTACTAAAACCAGGAACACCTGTCAAACATGAAACCTGTCAAACATGAAACATCAGCAGACATGAGGAACAACTTTTGATGGATTGCAAAATTGAACATGCTCAAAGAACAAAATCTCAACCCATAACCAAGATCTTCTAACAAGGGAAATAACCAACTTTTCATGTAACTGAGACCTATTGCGGTAATTATTTCCCTTTAGTCACATGGCGAGGCGTTAATTAATTGTTTTGTGAAAAAAAGGTAAAAAACGTGAAAAAACGCGGGGAATCCAAAATTATGCAAATATTGCAGAATTACGCGAAAAAACGCGGCCGCACAATCGCATAATCCTACGGGGACAGATCGCAGTAGGCTCCGCAGATTCCTTCCCAGTCTTTCGCTGCAGTTTCCCTGATCTTAGCATTCCAGTCACCCTGTACCACAATGATATCCTTCTTTGGTGTTTTGTCCAGTACTTCTTGGAGTTGGGTGTAGAAATCCTCCACTTCTTCGTCATCATTTCATGTGCTGTTGTTGGTGCATATGCTTGGATGACACTGATGTTGAATGGTAATGCTTTCAAGCGTATGTATGGCCGTGAGTCGACAGGAAACTAGTCGGCAACCCAAGACCGTTCACTGTGTCTTTATGAATGAGTATTCCAATTCCATATTCATGGCGGTCTTCTCTGCCACTGTAGTATAGTTTATGCCCTCCTGGGGTTGATGTATAAAATAGAAATAGGAGGGTGGTCGCATATCTTTTATAGGATTTTTTATTGTAATGGAGAACTCTGCTTCTAAGCATTGTGATAGCGAGTTTGACTTTCTAATTTTAACTCCTCTGCTTGCTGAATTATTTTTTGGCGGAGAATTGTTTCATAACATATCATTGACTTTCACTATGATCTTTGTGACTGGTGTCTTTTGTCTAGTAGCTTTAAAAGTGCTTTGCTTTTGCATGCAGATGACCTGAGTTCAATTCCATTGAATGGAGAATTTTGCTTTTTTTTACCTTGAACATCTCTGACTTCCTGCTGGGACTCTGTATTCCCCTCAGTCCAGATTGACAAATCATAAATGAATATTACCCCCCGGGGCAGTGCTACTGACTGAAATGTCTTTAGGCCATTCCCAAAGGGGGGACATTAACATGTTATTATGCAAAGTAGAATGTAAACGGGCTGATTGATCAATGTCATGTTCATACTGTGCCAGAACAACATCGGGGGAACTGTTGCTTTTTATTTCCTCATCCTAACTATCATAATTTTTCCTCTTCTTCTTTTGTATGTTTGTCAATCTCTTGTGAACTGCTATAATTTCTTGGGTACCTTGATTGGCGAAGGCGTCTTATTGCTGTTAAGTAAGCCTAACTCCCCGTTTAGACTTCTCTGTGGACATCCACCCCTTGGCGCTCATTGGACCTTATGCAGTTGCGAGCGGCGTAAAACCTCAACTAAAACAAACAGCATAAATAAATAAATATTGACCTTCACAGAGTTGAAGCCAAACTCCTTAATGATGGAAATAGGGGTATAATCTGAAAAAAAAGTAGTCTCTATGTATGCTGCCTTTATCATTGGCCTACCTATTCTTTGTTGTGGTTTCCTTTACAGTCTCTACTTATGCACATCATTCAATTTACAAAGACGTGCTCCGCTCAAATGCACATTTTTATGTATTTTGTTTTTTACAGAACAGTTAAATTTAATCTGTTCCAGGTCCATCACCTCTATGTTAGACTTCTTCATGCTCTGAATTGACTAACGCTGCAAAAAAAAATTACTTGAATGATTTACTATTTCTCTTTCCAGCTAATCAAGTGAGAATTTGAGAGGGTAGCCACCATGGAGTACCACTGCTCGGACCAGCCTGATGAGAAAGAAGACAGCAATATGGCAGACTTAGCAATCTCTGTGTTATCTAATGCAATTGAGACGCTGATACAGGGGAATGAGTTAGTAAACTTTTCAGCTTCCCCTTTAGGCTGTTTCAAAAACAGGCAGAATGCCAACACTGTTGAAAACACGAGAAAATATTACATGGCACCGGCTGGGCAAACTGTCAGTCACGTAGAACAGAGAGATGCTGAAGAAAGGGGATCAACTCAGCCATTAGAAAAGTTGACAAATACACATCCGCTTTGGGGTCAGGTGTCTGGAGAAGGGAAAGTGAAAGCTACAGGTGTTGACAAACCTCGAAAAAGATCATGCTTAGGACCTGAGAATTGGAAACGGGTCAAAGCGAAGCGGTTGCGTGAACATGGTGAAGCTTATGAGGGCAGGTCAAAAAATAAAATGACAGGAAAATCAGAGCCCAAATATGTTGCTGAAAAGAAAATGGGTTGTAGATGTTCCTGTGCATCCGACCACAGGAGTTACAAATGTGCCAGCTTTAGTGAGGAGGAAAGACAAGAAATTTTCCAACTCGTTTGGTCAATGACAGAAGCTGACAGGAAAATCTGGGTTTTTGAAATGGTTAATGCTTTGTCCATCAAGCAAAGAACTGTGTTTCATGACTCGCGTAGGTCGAATACTTTAGCTTACAATTTCAAGAGAAATGGAGAGAGACTAAGAGTCTGCAAGACTTTCTTCTTACGAACAACTGGATTGCGTCAGTGGTGGGTTCGACAACGCGCATTGAAAATGCAGAATGATGAATCTTCTGTAGCTAAAAAGCCCTCTTCTGCCAGTTCACGATTTGAAGAAGAGAGGAAATTTTGTAAGGATTTTTTGCAAAAGCTGCCTTTTGTGTCGTCCCATCCTTCGAGCAAGGCATCTTCGTCAAAGCGTTTTCTAGACCCAACTTTTGTGACATTTGCAGATGTGTATAGACTCTACAAAAGATCATGTTTTTATAGCAACAAAAAGATTCTTTGTCGTCAAGTAGTGCGCAAAATATTTGAGGACTTGAATTTGTCAATTTTTAGCCCCAAGAAAGAGCAGACTGACGCTTATGTTGCACATGATCAGGATTCTATGTTCATTCCAAGAGAGGAAAAGGACCTAACTGATCCTTATTTTATGGAACCTGAAGAAGTGGACGAATCAATGGATATAGATGCTGAACATGAAATGTTAGTAGACGATGAACCAGTACAGCCTTCGGCAGTTTCCGAGACAAATTCACAGAACACAGAAACTGAAGAAGATAGTGCAGTAGAAAGTTCAACTAGTGAAAGCACATTTTGGGTCCAAGGGACTGGAGAAGGAACAGTTTTGGGTTTTGATAGGCCACGAAAAAGAAAAGCTTCAAAACCTGAAAACTGGAAAAAGGTGAAAGCAAGGAAACAGCGGGAACATGGGGAAGCGTATGAGGGTAGGTCAAAGAATAAGATGACTGGAAAGTTAGAGCCAAAATACATTAGGGAAAAAACACTGGGCCCTAGGTGTCCCTGCATGCCGGATCACAAGAGCAACAAATGTGCTGATTTTAGTGAGGAGGAGAGACAAGAAATTTTCAGACTTGTGTGGTCAATGACTGAGTTGCAGAGGAGATTGTGGGTCTCTGAAGTGGTTAATGCTGTATCCATCAAACAGAGGACCGTGTTTCACGACTCTCGTAGGACAAACACATTGGTTTATAACTTCAAGAGAAATGGAGAGAGACTTAGAGTCTGCAAGACTTTCTTCTTGGAAACAACTGGTCTACGTCAGTGGTGGGTTCGGAACTGGGTGTTGAATTTACCAGACCCTGATACTTTAACGATACGAAGACCTTCCTTTGCCCCACAGAGGTTTAAAGAGGATAGACAATTTTGTGAGGACTTTCTTCAGAAGCTGCCGTGTGTGCCATCTCATTATTCAGGGACTTCAATGTCAAAGCATTATCTTGAACCAACCTTTCGGACATATGCAGATGTGTACAGACTCTATAAAAAAGCATGTTCTGAAAACAATAAAAAGGTGCTGTGTCGTCAAGTAGTCCACAACGTATTTGAGGATTTGAATTTAGCCATCTCTCGTCAGGGGAAAGACAGCAATGACACATATGTTTCTCATGAACCAGACAGTATGTTTATATCAATGGAGAAAAAGAACTATTCTGGTGGTTGTTTTGAGGAAGCTGAGGCTCAAGACTCATTATTAGATGAAAGTGAAAAACTCATATTAGAGGATGGCCCAGAGCACCGGTTGGTAGCTTCAGGGACAAATCCCAGAAATGTTAAACACGGAGACAAAATAATGGAGAGACTAGCGTGTCAAAATTCTCATTGGATTCAATCATCTGGAGAAGGGACATTGGATATTGATGGATTACGAGACACAGGACTCTCAGAGGCTGAAATGTACAAAAACTGGAAAAGGAAGAATGGGGCAACTGTGTGGAGTCACGAGAAAGCTCATGGGGGTAGTTCAATATCACGGAAGCGAAAACTTGAGCAGAAAGAAATAGACAGAAGAATTTTAGGCGCGAGGTGTTCCTGTACGTTTGATCACAAAACGAACAGATGTGCCAGCTTTAGTGAGGAGGAACGACAAGAAGTCTTTAAACTCGTTTGGTCAATGACCGAAGCACAGAGGTCAATCTGGGTCTCTGAAGTGGTGAGTGCGATGAGCATCAAGCAAAGAGCAGCGTTCCCGGACTCGCGGCGGACTAACACAATAGCTTACTTCTTCAAGAGAAATGGGGAGAGAGTGAGAGTCTGCAAGAATTTCTTCTTGCAAACTACTGCCTTGCGTCAATGGTGGGTTCGGCAAAGGGCGTTGAAAGTTCAGGACGATGGTCTGTCAGCGGCAGAGAGGTCAATGTTGCAGAGTCTGTGATCGTCATAGGAAACATACTTTTTTAAAAGAAAACTGCATAAAGTATAAAGTTATTCCACTTTTTGGCACATGCTCACTTGGAAATCATCATTGATACAACTGACCACAAACATTTCACCTAAAAAATGTGTGTGTATGTGTGTGTGTTTTGTGTGTGTGTGTGTGTGTGTGTGTGTGTGTGTGTGTGTAGATGTGTAGGTGTGTGTGTGTGTGTGTGTGTGTGTAGGTGTGTGTAGCTGTGTGTGTGTGTGTGTGTGTGTGTGTGTGTGTGTTTGTGTGTGAGTTTGTGTGTATACTTCCCTTTTCTTTTTTAATGATCCGTTTGTCACAGCAGTACTACAGTAGTTTACAGTTTATAGTACCGATACAGAAAAACGAAAAGTTTGTCACCTATTCAGAACTTTCTTTGTTTGGTATTCATGCATTGTTTTTCTGTTTTACATATGCAGTCTTTTATAGTAATTTGTGTTGGATTAATTTGTGCTCCTCTCCTCTTAATGTGTATGAGTGGGTGGTTGGCGGGTGCTCTTTGTAGTCTGCTCTTTTTTTCCTATCTAACATCTACACCTACATCGTCCTTTATCTCTTTTCCTTCTTTTTTGAGTTTGTTACTCTTTTGTTGCGCACGTCTCCAAAACTGGAAAGTCCGGGTTCAAGCCTCGGTTCGTACACTGATTTTTTTCGTCCCCTCCTGCCCACCCAGCAGTAATGGGTACCGTACCTCACTTCGAGTTGGGGAAATAAAGGCAACGTCGAAAGGAACTGGCTACCCTACACAATATGCAGAAGGCCCAGGAAGTTGTCTCACAATGTCCGGATACAACAAGGTTTGACTGTATATATTGGGAAAAATTCTGTTACACAAGCTTAGGTCGCTGTTAGGTAGAGGTTGCTCTTATCTGGCTTGCTGTTAAATGGACACTGCTGTAATAAACAAAAGGATGGAGTTAGATGATGCCACTTCAAGGTCCTACTTCTTTACCAAAAGTCTGGGTTTTTTTTCTCTTGCCCTTTCTGAGCACAAGAGGGTTGTTATCATATGGACCGAATTCCATCTTCAACAATCTTCCTCAGTTTGATCTTTCCATCATTGTTTGTGGGGTCTGATGTGGTTAACCCTATCTATACGCCCTGGGGTCATTTTGTACCCCAGGAGTTGTATTTTTCTAATTTTAGAATACTTCTAGTACGAAGATCTCTTTGATTCTTTCAGTATTTCTCAAAAAATCATTTTGACAGACTGCCATGCCAAGAGTACAGATCGGATCAACGATTAAATTTCCTCTTTGAAAGTGGTGGCACAGAGTTTCCCACGTCGTCTGGATACGATAGTAAAAGGCGACGTACAGATAGGGTTAAGAACAAGAAATCATGATATATATTCTTGATTGGCGTCAGTGATTTATTATGAGCATAAATTTTGCAGGTAATGACAAGCAAGTCATCACTTTGCATTACGTGAATTGGTTGTTTTGCTATGAAGATTTTCTTTTTGCATTCTTTTGGTTGTTTGCTGTTAAGATTTTTGTTTTGCATTCTTTTGGTTGTTTGCAATGAATGCTTTCATTTTGCATTCTTCTTTTTATGCGTTTATTGGACATTGTTTATGTTTGTTTCTTCCCTCCACCTCAACGTTGTTCTCAGAGAGCTTGACCGTATCATTCCTGTAGAGACTCTTTGTGTGTCATATTATGTATTATATGTAAGTATGTACAGTTGAAATTGTCCTAATGGTCACCCATTGTGGAGGTGAAAGGTGGTTATCCTAGACGTAGACAGATGATTGTCTTGGACAGTGCCATTAAAAAATGCAAGAGGGGAAGTAGGCCATATGATCATTTCGACAGGTGATTGTTTTGGACAGGTGGCAGTTGAAGCAGGTCGCAGGAAGCAACTGTTAAGCTTGTCA